CTGCCCTCACACTCCCGTGCTGGTGATTTGGGAGTAAATCCCTGGAACAGTGCCAGTGTAAAACAGGTGCAGGGAATAGCACAATTGAACTGTAAATACCCACTGCTCTGGGCACCATCACAGAGCTTCAGGCCTGGTGAAGGCATTTACATCTGCACAGAGCTGGAGGGTGTCAAATGCTGCCGTCACAACTGACCATCTGTCCAAACATCACACCCACTCTGCACAAGTGCAGGAGGCCATGCAGGAGCAGGTCTCATAGTGTTGGCCAAGCCCTGCTAACTGCAGGTTGTACAAGGAGGAATACCTTTTGTCCACATTCTCTCTTTGAGATTGGTTTAGCACCACGCTGGGCATTTGGCCAGAGTGCGCAGTCCTTGCTGTGACATGCAGTTGTGCTCTTTGAGATGCTGCTCTCCTATTCAAGTTCCCTGTGTTCTAAACCCTACTCTTTAAGGGAGACACTGCCTGTCATAATGTGGAGCGACATAGTAAGAAGAGACACAATATGCTGCTGTATTGTTTAAAATCAGCAGCCCTTTGCCTCTCCTGTCCAAAAGGCATGAGTTACAGACACCTCTTAATTTCAAGAAGTTTCTAGATACATGATTTAAGATAATGATAATGATCATTTCTTGATAATGATTTAAGAAATTAATGTGATTTATATTATCAGGTGAGAAGCTGAGAAATGCAGATACAATTATATGGCATCTTCTTGCAGTAACTAGATTGATATTAAACTCTACCTCCTCTCTACTTGCTTCTAGCAGCTGTTTTCAGACCAATTTATAGCTGCTGTATTATTTCTCCAGTCATCTCCTGTGCCCTTCTGAGCACAAATTATACCCTAGGGAACAGTTTGTGCCAGCTGAATATCATGTGGAAACCTACTGGATTTTGAGATAAATCTTTTGTAGCTTCAAAAGATGATGTAGCAGGGAAGTATATGGTTGATCTTCCCTGCCACAAACATGACCTGATGGTCCTCTGCTTCCTTCCACCCCAGGCAGCTGCAGAGAGAGAGGAGCTGAGCAGGCTGGAAGGGAGCAGAGTGCCCCATGGCTGGCTGGTAGTTGGAAGTGAGCAGGAAACGGATGTGAGCCCTCTTATGAAACTCAAGAGAGACTAAGAAAAAGCAATAGCAAGGTGAAGAGAAGGCATGTCTAGCATGGTGTGTGAGGATGTCAATCAGGATAGGAGCAGGCATGCCCTGAAATTAGGACCAGGAACAAGGCACTGACAGCAGTTCAGGGTGAGCCAACTCCAGGGGACAAGAGTCCCCTGTGGATCCCCAGCCTGAAGGGCAAGAGGCAAGCAGGGTTAGGGGCAAGGCCAAGGACTCCAAAGTCCAGCTTCAAGGAGTGATGGGAACAGTGGTCAGATGAGAACAAAGCATTTCTGTGCCTAGTCAAGGTCTCGTGTGAGAAGTAGGCTGGGGGCGCAAGGAATTGGAAACAAGACAGATAGAGCAGGCATATGAAGGGAAGTAAGCTGGGAGTAGGGAATATAGGGCAGGAGCTTTATCCAGGGCTCAGAAATAGTACCTAGAAGCTGAAATGATCACGTGGGAAGATTTCTTTATTACCTACATGGTGATGGGTAGTATTTCGGTTCCTAGACCAATCATCGGACTCATCAGAAATTCCAGTAGGAAAAACCAAGATTTAGACCAGTCTCTTAGCAAGGCTTTTGAGTGCTGTTATCCCTGTGACTGTTGTCAGCCTCAATTTCTGAAGAGACTTTGGCCTTCTCCATTTTGAAAGATGATCCATAACCCTCATTCAGCACTCTATGAAGTCCTGTTCTGTCCTTGCAACCCCAGTCCTCCAGAGTTTGTTTTCATCTGCATGTACACAGACCAGGTGAGACACAGGACCTAAGAGTGCATCTGGAGTGTGCTGCACAGAGCCTGAGCCTTGAGCCTAGAAGGAATGTGAGAGTGTTTATCCTATTAGTATGGCACCAGGATTTATAGGGTGATTTGGATAAAGCAGTCTTGTGTCTGACACTTATGCACCAAGACACATCTTTAACTAAGACTCTTACCTCCTACTCTACCTTCAAATAATGTCTTCATTTTCAGTTACCAGGCTGAGAACTAAATCCTGCCCCTTTCTCCTCTCTAGACAGTTTCTCCTGAGACACAGGAATGTGTAGTTCACTAGTCTAGAAATATCAATTGTGGGTCTAGCAGAGACTTCACTTGTGTCCTGCCGTGGTGCTGGGTTCAGCAGCTCTGTGGCTTTTTGCACTGGGAATATTGCACCAATCTGCTATCTCTGCCATAAGCAATGCAGTGAACTCAGCATAGAGAAGAAGGTATTTGTTTTCTTACTGTTATCTTATGCACTCATGCTACTCAATGCTAAGGGCTTTAAATCACTACAAGCCTTGCTTGATAAGCTGGTGTAGTTTTCACTGAGGTGAGGTGGGGGGCTTACCTGGAGTGTGGTGGCTAAATTCAGTCTTTGCTTAAGTACATGGAATGTCCATTTATGCCGGTGAGGTAGTACATGTGCTGCCTGTAGGCCATTTCAGCACTTCAGGGAGATGTTTTTAATCATACAAGGAATTGTCTGTATCTCTCTGTGACCACCTCCCTCTTTCCAAATATACCCTTTGTTTAAGTGGCCTTAGGAACAGCCTGAACAAAGCTTTGCCTTCTCTGGCACGTTTCTTCAAAACTAATTTATTTTTGCACTGCATTCTTCTGCATCTAATTTCAAAAAGTCTAGCTTCAGTCACTGATGTCTACAAAATCATTTCAAGAGCAGTGCATAAGATCTGCCTCATTACACTGTGCTGTATGGACACAAGCAGTAGTTCAGACAGTGGTCATCAGCAGGGCTGTCTCCTGAGCACATTTTGATCACATGTAAGTCAGGCAAACAGCATCAGTCTTCACCATTTTGATTTTCCAAAGACAGAGAATTAAACCCTTTCCCTGATCTCCTTTTTCCCTGCTGCCCAGGACTGATCTGTGCTGAAGGTACTCATAAGCAGCAGATTTCAAAATGATTCAATCTGTTCTGAAAAAATGTTGCACAACCCTTGATTTGGCACTTTTTTCCCCAATTGGTTTTTTAGTTATTATTTTCAAATAAATATCATATTTGTTATTTTAAAATATTTAATATATACTTAATCTCTTCCACTTTTACACAGACATCAGGAAGACTTGTCAGCACTTTTTAGCACCAAAATAAGAGAAACAGTTAATGCCAGGCTCCCTGTTGCCACTAAGTGAGCTTAATGCACAATGAGATGTAGGTCTGGGGCAGAAATATGTAGGATTTGATCACAGAGCTGCAGTGTGTGTTGAAATAGCTGGCATGCCCATGGTGTGTTACTTGCTGGGCTGCCTGTTTGCCTGCATGACCCACATGCTACCACCCAGGAATCCCCTCCAAGCTGCAGCAAGCCCTTCGCTGCCAAAACTCCCTGGTATGAGACTGACCTTCTCCTCTGGTATGTGGGACTGAGCAACACCACATGTAAACGTCAAAAGAGGATAGATTAGGACGAAAGGATTTCCTAAGATTTTAAACCCTCCAGACTTAACACCGCATCAGGCAAACGCCAAAACCCCAGGTAACTCAGAGAAGAACAGTGGCAACATCTAGTGGCCGTTGAAGCTATAGGTCTGTACTGTCAAGGAATGCCCTTTATCTTTCCTACATACCACATAACTACCCTGCTGAGCTCAGTGCTGGACATTCTCCTTCCATCAGGTGTGACTGTTTGGGAGTAGATATCCCCACTAGGCACCTTACTATTTTCTGGTTTTAAAACTTCTCTCTGAGGTGCATACTGAAGGCCAAGTTTATCTCTAGCCTGCTGCTTAAGTGCTTAGTAATCCTTTGGCTTGGCAGGCTTTTGTTCCATCTTTCAAAGTCTGTTTGTCTGGCTCCTTCTGACATGATCTGCTGTGAGAGGAAATGACTCTCACTTGAGAAGGTTGTAGAGGTTAATAGGGAATTTAATCAGAGCCCTGGATACAGCAACCGTCCTGCAATGTGTCAAACCATCTGGAGTCATAATCCTACTATGTCAGCTTTATTAAGCAAAACAAGATGCAGTCCTAATCTGCAGCCTGTGCATCTGCAGACTTATTTCTTTGTGAGCTGTTCTTCTCGTTGGACAGAAGCTCAAGTCTGACATCAGCAAACATTGCTGCCCCTTCCTGAATTTCCTGTCAGCAAGTCAGTCAGAAATATGCTGGATAATTTGAAGATTCACCTCCAGACCACTGCATAAGGAACATCTCCTTGTAATTAATCTGAAAAACATCCTCAAAATTATACCTGGACAAATGTCCAGAGCCTGCAGTCTAATCCTACAGCTGATTCCAGCATCTTCTGCAGTGCTCAGGAGTTGCTGTCTGTGAGTGAGATGCATCTGGAAAAGGTGACCTCCTACCACTTGTCCTAACCTGAACACAATAAACCTCTCGGGAACCAGAAACTGAGTAGACACTAACATGAATTGAGTTAAGGTTAGCACTAGGATTAGACTTGGAGTCTGAGGATACAGTGGGATATATTTGATTTTCTGGGTGATTTTGTTTTTCTGATCTTTTGGTTAATATTAAGTTGAATCGTTCAATGTAAGTTTATAATCGGATTTAATAGAGCTGACAAACTTCCATTGATATCAGATTTACAAGCAGAGGGTAGGTTAGAGCAGGCTGAGGGGCAGTGATGGGGCAGCCAGCTCGGGCCGGGCCGTGAATTTCTTCACGCTGTCAGTGAGCATTTTATAGACTGTAGTACCAAAGTTTTGTATCTCACTTAAGTTTTTGCTTGCATGGGGCTTTTTTAATGTATAGGGGCTTTAAGTCCAACTTATATGTTTTTATCCCTGAGATATCCCATCCTTTTTTGGACTCTTTATATTCTCTTGGCCTTAGGAGTTTGATGATAGTGCTAACTACATGTGCTGTACACATAGCAATTCCTCCTGGGTGCCTAGCAAAGAAAGTGAAAAAATACCACCTGTAAAGTGCATATCACAAGTTTATTTTTCTGCACAAACAAATAGAAAGTGATTTTAGATTGGAAAAAAAAAGGACAAAACAGAAAAGGAAAAACAGGATTTCCATAAACAAAGATGCCAACTCTGGTCTTCTGGGGTCACATCTTGCACCAGACAGAGCACTAATGCAGGGCTCCCATCTTCAGAGTACTGATGGGTCTCTTCTAGGATCTAGATGGGTCTGATAGGGGGTGCTGGATATTATAGCAGAAAGGGAGCATATTCTTTATAAGGGACAATCTTGCCGTGCACTGTGCTCACGTCTGTTGATCAGTGACTCCTCATCACACACAGTCTCTTCTGAGATTCTTCCTCTCAGCTGCTGCAGGATCTTGAGGTTATCTCTGGTAAGTGTTCCCATAAATCCAGAGGGAAAGGACTGTTACTTCTGAAGCAAAGATAAAACCCCAGAACTGCCAGAGCTGCAATGTGTAACCTGCAGCATGATAGAGAGGAGGGATGATAGGCAGTTTTAAATCAGAGCCCATGCAGACATCTTCAAAGGGGACACTGAGGTTTGGCCTACCACTGCAGCTTATAACTTAGCACGTGGGACATAAAACTTGTTAAAGAACTGGTTTTGTCTGTGCTTGTTTAACAGCTGAGGAATTAGACATTTGGAGAGGCTTAAAACAAGCTTATATGCTTCAAAAGTATTCCTTGTAATATCACCTGTGACCTTTCTAACAGGCTAGCCACAATATTTTCAAGAGCAGACACTAGCAGAGCTGCTTAAAGCCAGCAGTAGTTCAGGTTTCTTCCTTACAACTTAACAGATGCATTTCAGTATTATTTCTCATCTCATCCTACTTGCAGCTACAGGCCTTCTTTGGGATACACCACAAGCAGTGTAGGCCTCATCTGCAACACCCTCTGCTTCTGCAGATCATGTCCTGTGTCAGCATAGGATCCAGAAAAGTTTGTAAAGGGCTGAGATCCATTACACTACTTTGGATTTGCTTCTAAAGATAGCTTTGAACCAAGGATATAAGTAAAATGCAGGATTCCCAGCCTTCTGATTCTTTCTCTTCCTCTTATGTTTAATATTCATTTTCCAATCAAACCTACCTTTTTTTTCATCTCCTGCCCATTACATTATCAGAAATGATGGGGCAAGTGCAGTTTATTCCACTCACTTGGGTCATGACATCTAACACTGAGCAGTGTTTGGCCATCACACCTTGGCAGGTATCATTATCTCCCAGAAAGCTGGAGTGGGATCACTGAAATACTAACCACATGCAATCTCCCTTACATACTAAGGCCAGACATCTCTATTTTTCCAGTGGCGAAATGAATTTCCTGAGACACTCAGGCCCTGAGAGCGGTTAACTTTAGGGACCTCAGGGAAAGGGACACTGGAGTAAGATTCAGACTTTCTGAGGTTACTTCTTCACTGCGGAATTATCTTGAGCACCCTTTCTCTGGTCCACACAACCCCTCTCTACACCTGAGTTCAGTAATGCTTTCAGCCTGGGCTGGCTTGTCTGTCTAAGGCTAGTGGCTTAAACCACTAGCCAGTGACAGACAACACTCCACAAGGAGATGAGAGACAAAGCTTTTGGAGCACTGCTAGTCCTTGAGTTCCTTCCCACAGCTTTCCTAGATAAAATAGAAGATTCCTCCTTCCATGTTTGGGAAGAAACACAGATATTCAGTTTACTTTAGCACACAGAATGTTTTTTTCCAGAAATGCTGGCAATGCAATGCAGTACAGGATGAGTGAGAAAGCAATATCCAAGATAAGTTCTGTAGCATGGCTGCTCTCCTTCACTGGAGCTAAGTGGATTCTGGTGATCTGAATTAACTCCGTGGTGAGGATTTCTCCTGAGACATCCTCTCTGGAGCTTTCCAGGGACACAAACAATCCCCTCAGCAATTCAGCTTGGCTGCTCCTGTGTCATACAATCAGGCGCAGCACCTATTCTGACTCAGCCACACCTTTGTCCATCAACTCAAGGTGTTCCCAAAGGTTTTCTGATGATCCTCTTCCATGGCTGATAGTGTGCCAAGTGTAAGTGCTGTCCTCCTCTCTCCCCAGCATGCTCATCCTATGTTTCAGGGCCCCCAGGAATGTGCACTGCAAACACAGGCCTGCAGAACAAGTCCGGCCAGAGTGAAGGATTCAAAGGCAGGATTGTGTATTACTTCTCCTTTTCTCTCATTCTCTCCCTCCCAAGCTTGTCCAGGATTAGAGCTGCTAGCTAGGTTCTCCACTGTTCTTTTTCTTTGTGGGAGAGCACATATGAAAAATCTCAAGGTGCTCACACAGAAGGACTTTAGAGCCTCCAAGGAAAAGTATAGACCCAGCTATACCCAACTACACATCATAAGCTCCTGCCGTGCAGAGGAAGGTTGGCTCAGGCTTAGTGTGAAACCATACTAGCTTCACTGCTTATAGACTGCATCAGCCCCACTTGCACTCCTTTTTTTCTCCCTAGAACCTACAGTTTTGTATAGCCAAAGTTTGTGCACAGTCCAGTCAGAGAACAGCTACTGCTTGAAGGGGAGGAGTGAGTTTTGTGGACAAGATGGACACTTGTCTCAAGTGGGTCTATGAGACTCATTCTGCCTCCCATAGATATTCCTAAGGGTTTAGCAAAAGGCTGGGCAACCCTGACCCAAGAAGAGGTGGCAAGCCCCTTCCCTGCAGCTGGGGCATCTGCTGTGTTTGGACCCAGTGCTTCAGGAGCAATGCTTTCTTGGTGTACTTGTGGGATCGCACTGTAAAAGTGGTTGGTGGAAAAGGAGGAACACAGGCAGAAAGTAAATGGCAGGGGTGTGTGTAAACCAGAGTACGGATGACATGCACATACACATGCACAGTCCCTATTAATATGTTGAATTCTTCCTTGGGAAATGGAATGCTTTCTTCATCTATGCCTTTAGTGTAGAGATTAAGTCGGAGGCTAGCCTGGGACATTCAGGGAATAACCATTACTCTTTCCCCAGTATCACCAGCAAACTGAGCTCTGTATGTGTATATGAGTGCAGATCTTCTGGGATTCTCAGAGCACTTCAGTTTTTACCAAATAGACCCCAAGGATACCTAAATCATTTAGTATGAAATTTTACTTGTGACTTTCTGTTTTCCTGACCTCCACTTCCACACTGAGAATGTCTGTAAAGGGCCTCTGTTTTCCAGCTCATCACAAAGTTTTCAGCAAGCATTATGCCATGACCCATTTCTAATCTAGCCACACTTCCATCCTAAATAAAAAAAAAGATCATATGCAAATGCATTTTCAATCCTGCCTCCTTTTAAAGTCAACTGTACCTTCTCCCATGCAATCCACCTTTGTACTTACAGCATCCACATCCTGTTCCAGTGGGACTAATGCTGCAGAGCCTTTCTTTGTGCCAACCAGCCACTGCCTGAGCTTAGCTTTGATTTTGTGTATCCTTAGAAATTGATACTCCCTTTTCCAGTTTCCACAGCTGGTGATAGCCCCACCAAGTCCACTCAAAGGCCCTTTTTGGCAAACCGCTTCCAGACCTAAGTCATGTTTTGTATCAGCTGGGACGACTCTCCCTTTTACCCCCAGCCCTGCTGACTGGAGGAATGGGGCACACACGGCCACTCTCCTGCACAGGGCACACTGCCCACATGTGCATGGGCAAACACCACCGCTCACTCTGCTCTCTTGCCTTCTTTCCCATGCCCTTCCAGATGGAAGTCTGGGAGAAGTGTCTAAGGTGAAGCCCCACTTTTACTTTCACTTCCTGCTGAGTGTTGCTGTGTACATGTGTGTGCACACAGGTGCATGTGTACAGACTGACAAGCTCAGAGAGGAGCAGTCTAACGGGAAAGGACTTCTGTTCCGTAATTCCACCTCTCACCCTTTCTTCTTGGGAAAGCTGTTGCCCCCTGGTTTCCCTCCATTCAGGGGTGACTCCAAAGCCCTTGGGAAAGGAAAACCACTGCCTCCTGTGTGTCCTCATGTGATACAACCCCTGTCATTCACCCCCTCCAGAGGTGGGTTTTGCTGCTGTGTACAAGTTCCCAGTCTCTGTATACCACACATGTACCCTTTCTCCACATTCTTCCTCCTACTATATCCACAGCCAGTAAGCCTTTCCATGAAGTTTCCCATCTGAGACCAAGGGGAGGTTGGGGGAGAGGGTGGTGCAGAAGGGGAGTAATTTGGTTTGGTTTTTTTTCTTCGTTTTGTGTCACTCATCCCAATGTACTGAGCTGACAGGAAAGACAAAACAAGCACTATCTCTGCGGGGCCACAGACGGGATGGGAGGGGTACCTGCCTCAATGGTGGCCAAAACTTGGCCTCCACACATTGGCCTGCATCCCTGTTCTTGCTGCTGAGAATTTGGGCCTGGCCACCTGAAACCGAGAGGCAGAGGCTGGATTTGGAGAAGGCCCCTGGCCCACCTGACCAGGCTCTGGGGAGCTCTGATATGGTTTTGGGGACTGGCTGAGCTCCACCTTGAAGGGTGCTGGTGTAGCAGGGGCAGAAGAGGCCATTTCTGTTCTCCACAATGGCTCATCCAGCGTGGTTGCTGAGCGGGGCATAAGCACGGTAGGTGCCAGGCTGCTAGAGGCTGGCATGGGAGCCGGAGTGGAGAAGCGACGAATCTCCTGGGTCTTGGCTGTTTTCACGGGCACCTGCTTGGCTGCCATGAAGGATGAGCTAGCCTGTGGGGCTGGCTGACCAGAATTCTGAGTGCTGGAGCTTGGGGGATCCCCAAAACAGAACATGGCTGACTTTAATTGATAGGGCTGGTGGCGCATTATATCAATGACCTTGATCCCTGATTTCTGGCCAGGTGCCTTTTTCACTTTGCTCTCTGCTTTGCTAGCCTGAGATTTGCTGGCTGCCAGGGGATAGAAAGGGGAATGCATTGGGTTGTAAGCTATTGGAGGGGGAGCCCGGATGTTGGGTGAATATTTCCAGGATGAGGGTAGAGAAGGGGAAGGAGAGGGGGTCCTGGGCTTGGGGTCCGGCTTCGGTGTTGTCTCCACCACATATTTGTCCATGCGGCTCTGGCGTTTGGCAAAGAGCTCTGCCCCCTTGCCTTTAAGCTGAGGCATGTCCTGGGCCCCATTTACCAGTCCAGCATCTGGCTTAGGAGCCACTGGAGGTGGGGTCTTGAACTTACGGCCCGAGGACTGCATGAAGTTGCAGGCCTCAGCACCCAGGCTGAGGAAGTCTTCCTCAGGCCCAGACTCGAAGCCTGCCCCGGGGTGGTCACCTTTCGGCTTCTCATCCAGGTTCTGCACCAGAGACAGGAGCTCAGGATTGGGTGAATTCTTCTTCTTCTCCTCAATCTTACTGAACATGGGTTTCTTGTTGCCCCGCCGGCGAGCCTCCTGCAGGATGCCTGTGCGGGGAGCTGGCACAGCAATCCTCTGCTCCCTGGAGGTTAAGGGCTCCGAAGGAGGTCGTGGCGTTGCTGGAGTGATGGCAGGAGAAGGCTGCTTTGGCACAGGGGAACTGCTTCTCATGTGCTGTGATGGTGCTGGACTAATATACAAAGAAGAAGAGGCTGTTCCATGGACTTGTGGCTGGGATGCTGCAGAGGCCACATCCCCTCCTGGCTTTGAGGGAGTTGACAGAAAGATAGAAGTGGTGGATGTCCGAGCAGTGTTGGCAGAAGGCTTAGTTTCTGGAGAAATTCCTCCTTTTGGCTGTGACTCCAGTGGTGATGTTGGCCTTCCTGGTGCAGGGATATACAGAGATGTGGAGGAGCTGACTGCACCACGGTGTGTTGGCACTGGTGCGTTGGCAGGAGCCGGAAATGAGAAAGGGGAAACCACTGTGGTTTGCCCACTCAGATTTTCACTGGGTTTTTTGGGTGCAGATGGCCTAAAGATGACAGAGGAAGTTGCTGGGCGTTGGCCAGAAAAGCCAGGAGTAAAGGGCCGTGCAGACCTGTTGAACATGCTTGTTGAGCTTGCAGAGAAAGGGTCGGGGGTGCTCGGGGGAGGTGGGAAGAAAGTGGGGCTAGGAGCAGCCTGAATCTCAGTAGGGAGGGTGGCTGGCTGCTTGCTGGGCACTTGCACACTTTCCAGGTGGATGCTGAGGGGCATGCTGTCTGCCTTCTCCTCTGGCACAGGCATATCTCCGTTCACTGTGCCCTGCTTTGGCTGGGCAGCTGGGTCAAGCTGGGGGCTCTTCTGCACTGGAGCTTTCTCAACTGTGTACTTCCCAGCCCGTTCCCTCTGCTGCTCAAACAATCGTGCTCCTTTACCTGAGGCTTCACTCAAACCTTTTTGCTTCTCTTCCTTCTGTTCAGTGTCAGACTTGGACTTCTCAATGTCTAGGTAAGTGTTGTCCCAGTCTGA